GATGGGCATTTAGGTTATTTCCAGTTGTGTCCTTATTATAGAAAACACTATGATGAACATCTTTGTACCAGAAATCTTTATATCCATGACTATTTCTTAAGACACGTTTGTTGTCTGGGACACCTGGGTGGCTCAGTCAGTTGAATACTTGACTCTTGATTTTGGCTCAGGTCATGATCTCATTGTTCTTAGGATCTAGCCCCATGTCAGGCTCTGGGCCCAGGGTGGGGAGCCTGCTTGGGATTCTCTCCCTCACTTTGCCCCTCCCCAGCTTTTGCATGCTCACACACTTTCTCTCTCTCTCTCAAAAATAAACAAACTTTAAAAATTTTTTTAAAGTTTGTTTATTTTTGAGAGAGAGACAGAGACAGCACAAGCAGGGGATGGGCAGACAGAGAGGGAGACACAGAATCTGAAGCAGGCTCCAGGCTCAGAGCTGTCAGCACAGAGCCCGATGTGGGGCTCAAACTCACGAGCCATGAGATCATGACTTGAGCCTAAGTCAGATGCTTAACGAACTGAGCCACCCAGGCGCCCTTAAATAAATAAAATTCAAACAAACAAACAAAAAAGACACATTTGTTACCTAGGTGTTACTGCATCATCTTTCTAAGGTTTTCATTCAAAATTCCAGTTGCCCTTCTGAAAGATGTTGCCAGTTTCTGCTCCCTTTGGCAGTGTGTGAGGTAGCACATTTGCCGTGAAGGTATGTAGTACGTGTCCAATTGGATGTCCTTGTGGTCCTGGCCAGGCCTGTGTGCACATCTTAGAAGAAATCCCTCTTCTCTGGACAGCCTTATATGGTTCCAAAGCTCTTTTGGGTCCATTTGCTCATTTCATGTTCACAGCAATCCTGTTATCCCTGCTTTATAGGGAAGGAAACTAAAACTCAAAGATCAATAATAAGGCCCTGTTCCAAGTGTTTTATGTGTGTTACCTCATTCAGTCCTTGCAGCAGCCCATGAGGTTGGTGCTGTCATCATCCCCCTTTCAGGGCTGAAGTCACTGATCCAGTGTGTCAGAGCTGGGGTGCTCACCTGCTCTCTGAATCACTCCCTGCCCTGCCTCAAGCTCATACAGTCATTTTCTTGGGGCTGGACAGCTAGGACATGGTGGGGCCAGGAATCCAGCCAGATCTTCCTGGCTCTGCAGTCCAACTTCTTTTTTTTTTTTTTTTTTTTTTTTAATTTTTTTTTTCAACGTTT